AAGAAAGAAAGAAAGAAAGAAAGAAAGAAAGAAAGAAAGAAAGAAAGAAAGAAAGAAAGAAAGAAAGAAAGAAAGAAAGAAAAAGAAAGAAAGAAAGAAAAGAAAGAAATGTAATCTAGACCCCCCAAAAGAGATGGGATATGTCAGTGATGCTGACTGAGGGAGAGAAGCTGATTTGGACACTCTCTACCTCTTTATTTTATTTATTCATTTATTTTTAAAAGATTTTATTTATTTATTTGACACAGAGGGAGAGAGAGCACAAGTAAGCAGAGCAGCAGGCAGAGGGAGAGGGAGAAGCAGGCTCCCCGCTGAGCAGGGAGCCCGATGCGGAACTCGATCCCAGGACCCCAGGATCATGACCAGAGCCAAAGGCAGCCGTTTAACTGACTGAGCCACCCAAGCGACCCTCTGTACCTCTTAGGTATGTTCCTTTACATGTGAGCCCTGGAAATAGCTCTGCATGTGTTACAGCCTCAGGTTTGTTTGTTTTTTTTTAAGTAGGTTTCAGAGTTCCAGAAGGGGTCTGTTTTTGCCAAGATGAAAGAGAATGGAGCTCTAAACATGAGATGAAATGAAAATGCTTTATTGTCCTAGCAGCTTCAGGTGACTCGCTTCATTTGTTTACATAGTATAGAGACGTAGCTCCTGTAGCAGAAAGCGCATGAACTTTGACATCAGAAAGACCCAGGTTTAGGAGTAAGGATTCCATCTAAGACATACAAAAGGAATGAAAAATTAGAATATTAACACTCTGCTAACCCCAGTGCAGTAACCGATTCAAGCACAACGGAAAATGATAGCTCTACAATGGAAAATATGGCAGTCACCACCTGAACCAAATGATCAGACTTGATATCACCAACACCAGGACAAAGGGACATCACTGCCTCCTGATATGATATAAGGAAAGCACACGCCATCATGTGCATAGTGTTTTTGGCAAACATGTTTAGCCTGAATCTAATCACAAAGAAACAATCAGACAAATTCAGATTACAGGGACACTTTGAAAAGCATTAGCCTGGACTCTTCAAAAATTGTCCATGTCACGAAAGATAATAAAATATTCCTGAGATATTTGGGGAAATTTAAATATGGGTTTTATGGGGCACCGGGGTGCCTCAGTCGGTGGATCATCCGACTCTTGATTTCGGCTCAGGTCATGATCTTAGGGCTTGGGATCGAGCCGCGCATCGGGTTCTGCGCTCAGCTCAGAGTCCGCTGGAGAGTCTCTCTCTCCCTCTGCCCCTCCCACTGCTCTCTCTCTCTCAATAAATAAAGTCTTTAAAAAAATAATAAAATAAAAATAAATATGGATTTTATAGTAGATAATTGTGTATCAGTGCTGAGTGTCTTGGGAGTATGAATGACATGATAATTATATAAGAGAATGTCTTATTGGTGAAACTAGTTAAGTTAGTGTTCTTTATGTTTTTTTTTAACTTTTCTATAGGTCTGAAAATTTTAAATTAAAATGTGAGAGAACAAAAGGAAAAACAATACCTTTGCGAACTGCATAAAACGAAAGGTCTAACTTTTACGCAGACACACAGCCACGCTGGCTCAATAATCCCCGAGAATATTGACGCCTATGGGTCACAGGAAAAGCTGCTCTGTCCCCCTTTAGCATCAACATGACACCTGTCTTTCTCGAACAGGGACGATGCAACAGGTACGTTAGGTTACACTGTGAAGTTGAACCACTCTTGCAGACACATTTTTTTTTTAAGATTATTTATTTATTTATTTATTTGAGAGAGAGAATGAGATATAGAGAGAGAGAGAGCATGAGAGGGGGGAGGGTCCGAGGGAGAAGCAGACTCCCTGCTGAGCAGGGAGCCCGATGCGGGACTCTTGCAGACACATTGATGGGTATCGTTTGTATACGCTTTTGTCTTTCCAGCTGTTCCAATTTCTTTACTGGTTTAAAAACCTTTCTAACGCTCCTTCATAATGCACATTTCCTTCTGCTTTTTACTAGCCGTTCGACTTCAACTTTGAGTGAACCCTCTCTTCTCATAATGGCTTGGGGTTTAAGGAGAGCAAAGTTCAATTTTTATCATCCCCAACTGGGAATTGTCAAATTTAAAGCCTTCCAATCTGCAAGATGTTTGGACCCAAATAGAGATTTGTGCATCAACTTGTACTTACCTAGTTTAGACATTATCTGCCTTTTGTGTATCTGACCGTCAGATGTGTTTTGCAATCATCTGGAATTTCTCAGAATTTTCCCATGTTTTGGCAAAGCAAAACAACTTCAGTGTGTCACCAGCAAACGTGTGCAGCTCGTTGTCAGTTTGCCCTCCCAAGCCCTGCAGCTGCAAGGAAATGCTCCTACTGGCAGACTTGACCTCACCAGGCAGCCTCCCACAGGCTACTGTGGGGACTGTCTGTCTTTTGGGAAGGCTGCTCCTATCTTGTTTAATCACGGACTAGAAGGGCCGCAGATAGAAGTGAGATCGTGACAGCAGCTAAGACTGATCAGTGCTCTGGCCACCAAGGAGCGGGGGAAGACACTAAGAAAACAGGAAGAGAGAAACAGTGGGGGTGTCTGGGGAAGAGAGGAGGAGAGAAGATGGAGAGGAAAGAAGAACAACAAGAGGGGAGTCAGAACGTAGAGGAAAACATTCCTGAAGCCAAAATCAGCTTCTTGCGTCACTCACAGATCCAAAGCCTGGGTCTGGACAGAGTTGATTCCGGGACAGAGGAGCAATGGAAGCCACGGGCCACTTGTGTACATTTTACAAAAGATACTTGTAGGGCGGACAAAAGAGAAATAAGTAGAGGGAAAGGGCAAAAAACAAAGCAAAACAAAACAAAAGGGGATGAGAAAGAAGGAAGTCTAAGTATCCTGAAATGTTCTCAGGTTATGCTTGTTTTTAAGTTGCTTCTAGGGACAAACCTTTAAATCCTCTTAAACAGGAAATGTATATTCATTTAGTTCCTTCTCTTGGCATTTTTGGAAAGGAAAGAACCAAACTGTTCAGTGAGAAACTAAACATACTTTTGGATCCAAATATATCCACGTAAAAGGCACAAGAGAGGCAGGAATTGTGGGGATGGATTCACTAAAGCCCTCTACAGTTGTCATTATTTTTTCCATTTTACAAATGACAAAGCTGAGGTTCTAAGGCGTAAATAGTGAAGGTGATACAGCTAATCAGCGTTGAATCCTGGTTTTGAACCTACCAATGCTTGACTCCAAAGTCTGTAATTTTTGTTTTCCACTACCAGATCAGGACATAGGTGTACTACACCTTTTAAAACATGTATGCATAGATGAAAATTGATCCATGACGTATACCAAATAGGGCTGTACTCAAACCCAGGACATAATAGGAATGGAGACGATGCTGCATGAGCACAAAGGAGACAGTTTTTAGAACTGCTGATTCTACTCCCAGTTACAGAGAGAGACAGAGACAGAGAGAGATTCCTCACCCTTTCTTTTTATAAAATTAGGACAAACGGGAGAACCACAGCCAAAGTTTCATTCCTATGTATTGAAGGAAACCTCTGGACTTTCTATCTAGAGCATTGCTGGTCTAGTTTTCCATTTCTCAGTGCTCCATGTGTGCGCTCTCCCCCTTCATGTGGAGATGGACTATCACGGTTATTGCATGCATTGTTCCCGCATGGCTGGCCGAGGGGGCATAGGCTAAAACAAATGAGTAAGATGAGGGGCAGTGTAATGCAGTAGGAAGAGACTCTGGCTGTGTGACCTTGAGTAAATCAAAACCTCTCATAATCTTGGTGTCCTTCTCAGCGACATGTGGAGGTTAGACTAGATAATTTCACAGATTCCTTCCATATCTCAGATTCCGTGCCTTGAAATAAATCCCCAAGGAGCTAAAGTGCCTGCATGGCCAAAATGCCTGTCCCCCAGAAGCCTTTATCAGTGAGAGTGTTATCTCCTGGAGGACTGGGAACCACCATCTGGATCCACCGCTGGCTGCTAGAAGCAATGGAAACAAAGCCTGCGCTGTACATGGTCTGTTGGCCAACTGGATTCCTGCGGGAGAGATTTTGTGTAGAGTTCCTCCACGGAGGCCTCCCTTTGCCCTCCTGCACACAAATAGGCAGCCGGGAGGCCAGCATCCACCAGCTGGGAGCCGGCGTCCACCAGCTGCATAGTCAACAGCCTTTGAGTAACAAATTGGTGATCTCAGCCCAGCTCTGGTGACTGTGTCATAAGATAATTAAAACTTGTCAACCAACACAGCAGAGGCCTGGAAGGGCAAGGACTGAAGGAGCATAAAGCTAAATCACTCTTCTTTCTAGCTCCTTGAAAAGGGATGCAAAACTGGGAGGGACCTTCTAACATCTGAAGTCATGGAGTGACTAGTGTAGGTGGATGGAGAGGTGAGAATTCAGTGAGGATCTGGGTGTGCACAGAACTCAAAGACCAATCCCCATCCACAGGCTGAGAGTGACCAGTAGGGTTAACCTCTCTAAATCATGTTTTTTTTTTTTTTAGAGAGAGAGAGCACAGGA